TTGCCCACCCTCAAGATGAGGAGATCATATAGATCAGGAACTGTATATCTGGGGTACCATCTTAGAATTTTTCTACTGTAAGTACTACTGAGGGCATTTATATCTTTAGTGGAACTTGATAGATTATGTTGTCCATGGCATTTATCCATTTAAGTTCAATTATAAATTTTGTTTCTATGTTTTTTTGAGACAAGGTCTCACTATGCAGTTCAGGCTTCCTTGAACTCTCAACGTAGCCCAAGCTGGACTCAAACTCCCAGCAATCCTCCTGCTTCACCCTCTCTGGTGCTGGGATTACAGGAGTGCACCACCACATTTGGCCTTATAAATTTATGCGCATAAAATTGTTTATGATTTTCCCTTGTTTTCCTTCTAATATCTGCAGGCTCTATAGTGACAGCCCCTCTTTCATTCCTGATATTGGAAATTTGTGATACTCCGGGGGTTTTTTGGTTTGTTTGTTTGTTTGTTTGTTTGTTTTCATAACAGGGATCAAACTCAGGACCTTGCTCTTGCGAGGCAGGTGGTGGCACCACTGAGCTAAATCCCCGGCCCTGTGAGACTCTGTTTTTAATGATAAATCCAATGATAAATTTTTCAGTTTTATTTTTGAAGAATTTTAGCCTCATTGACTTACTTCTCTTATATTTTGTGATTTTCATTTCAATCATATCGGTTCTCATTTTTGTAATATTCTGATCATTTTAGGATAAACTTACTCTTTTTTTTTTTTTCTTAATATAGTGAGGTAGAAATGTAGATCATCCATTCAAAACCATCCTTTTATTCCAATATGAGTATTAAGCCCTGTATATTTTCTTTGAAGCCTCCCTTTTGTGTAGAGTGAGACCTTCCAACAATATTGTTATTTTCTTTCATTTAATTAACTTCTTAAGTTTCTCTTGAGATTTTCTCTTTAATCTATGGATTATCTAGAAATATGTTAATTCCCAAGTATTTGGTGATTTCCTGTTATCATTCTGTCATTGATTTTTAGTTCAATTATATTATCAGAGAACATACTTGACATGACTTCAGTTCTTTAAATCATCTAATGTTTGTTTTATGAACCAATATATGGTCTCTTTTGGTGAATGTTCATTCCATGGGTGGTTTAAAAGATTATATTTGGATATCATTAGATAAAGCGTTCAATTAATATCAACTAGATCCTACTGCTCTATAGTGGTATTCATTTCTTTTGTACCTTTGCTGATTTTGAATCACTTATAAGAATCTATGTAATTGGCATTAAGTATGTTTTTATTATTAATTTTATTGGTACATTTTAGGTATACAATATAATGACATTCATCATTGGAAATTTGTACCTTTACATAATCTGTCTTGGTTCTTATTTTTTCCCCATTCCCCTGCCCTCCCTCCAACCCCTCTATCCCTCCCTATTTACAAAGACTTTGTTTCCATTTTTTTCCTTTTCTCATATTAATTCCATTCCCTTCTTTCCTTCCCCCAACCTCTCCTACTTTCCCCTTTGGACCTTTTCTTCCTATTACATATTATCTATTATTCCTTTAGATCCTTATTTAAACTTTTAGCTTCTCACGGCAGAGAAAATATTCGGTATTTACATGTGTGTCCTATTTATTTCATTTAAGAGTATCGCCTCAGTGTGCATCCTTTAGCTATAAATGTCTCTAATTTCTGATTCTTTATGGCTGAGTAGTACTCCTTTTTATTAAAAAACCACATTTTCTTTATCCACTCTTCAGTTGATGGGCAATTGGGCTGTTTCCAAGTTTTAGCTATTACAAACTATGCCGCCATGAACATGGGTGCACATATATCACTGTGGTATGATTCTTTTCATTCTTTGGGGAAGATCCCCAGCAGGGGAATAGTTGGGTCAAATGGGACTTCCAGTCCTAGTTCTTTGAGGTATCTCCATACTGATTTCCATAGTGGTTGCACCAGTCTGCA